ACACTAAAGGCAGCATGGCCTCGTAAAGCCTCATTAGGCTTAATGACCTTCAGTGAGCAGAGAGCCGACACTGCGTGAATCATAGTATGTGCAGGTATACATTGGTGCGTGGCTTGTGCTTCTCTGCATACAGTGTGCGTGCATGAATGTGTGTGTGTGTGTGTGTGTGTGTGTGTCCTCTGGGAGCGGGGCTAGCTCAGAGCCACAATGCGTCTTATTCAGCAGGGTCCCTGGATTAAAATGTAATTTCATTCAAAGTCGCAAATTGGGTTTTTTACTGTACTAATCTTCATTTTACTAAGCAGAACGAGGTATGTCATTAAAAAAAAAAGGAGTGACTTAATGAAAGAACGCAGGATGGATAGATTGCAGAGGGGAAAGCAGTTCCCCATGCGAATGATAAAGGTTATTCCAAATCATAAACAGTAAAATAAATCATGAATAATACACTTGATGACTGTTGAGTGTGTATTGTAGTGATTATAATTTAGGGAAAAGGCTAACGACAATGGCATCAACATTTGTAGGTGTTCAGCTAATGCTGTGGTTCAGAGGGACTCAAATTGCAGCAGCACAATAAGCTAAATTATGAATACTTTCAAATCAAATATCAAGATGACCAATACAGCAGCACAGGAACAGGTGAAGAGGACTTGAACAAATATGCCTTTGTATTTAGAATGAGCATTCGATCAAAGTCTGGTTTAAAAAAAAAAAAGAAATATGAATAAAACACTCTACTCTTTTGTAGGGAGTACTATCAAAGAACATTTAAGTGGCAATAGGGGAGCCAACTGAACTACAAAGGTGTTTCAGAATCAGACTGTGTGAAATATAGTTCTGTCCATATATTGTGCTTTTTGGAATGAATTAGCTGGGAGTGAAGAGACAGTTACTGAGCTGCACGAACACGGCTTCCACTGTGAAGAATGACAAATAATGAATTCACACACCATACCACCGCTCTCACCTAATCACAGTCAGGAATCAGCAAAACCATTCCCTCCAGCTCTCCCTGCTAATACATTTCCGGCATGGAAATCATGATCCACAAAATAATTTCCGTGATAAAATCAGTGAATCTAGAATTGTTTGGTAAGAAAAAAAAAAAAAAAAAAAAAAAAGGCTGGCTGCGTCAGTAATGGACTGGGATTGCATAGATGTTCTTTTTCTTTTTCAATTAAATCCGTTCGCAAACAAAAATGATTTCATTCCATAATGACTATACGCTTCCACCAACACGTCCTGGTAGAATACCAATTTTACAACCCAGATCATTCATTTTTCGGGGGTTAATTAAGGTTATTTCTGAATTTCTTCACTTAGCCATCAAATATCCTCAATTTCATTTCTTTTCACTCATTCCATGAGAGGCTACTGATGAACAAATCACCTGCCCAAATGCCCATAATGGCACTGATGGGAATTACAAGGCCATTTCCTTTTTCTTTCCCCTCCTCCCTCTGCTCCTCTGCTCTCCTCTCCTCTCCTCCCATCCTCCCTGTCATAGATGAACGGGAGAGATTTACAGTTAGGGGTCACACACTGGTTCTAATTAGCTTAAGTAGGTTGGGAGGAATAAGCACTTCCTTGCTGAGACGCATCACCAAGTCCCACAACTCGTCTGACTAAGCAGAGAGGGGAGAACGCAGGCAGACAACCGACCTCTGTCTCCGTCTGCCTTTCCGTCCTCCTGTCTGTCCTCCTGTCTGTCCGCGTCCTTTCGTGTCTCCGCCGGTGCTTAAATTTCCCCAGTGTTGCAATACCGGAATGTTTTGACAACAGCAAACTTGTGATAATAAGAAGCGATACACTCGTCAAGTGCATAATGATGACAACCCATCAGCAGAGGTTTTTGGGTGAACTGAACAGTATTCTGGGAAACATCCGTCATCGCAACCTCCAAGAAATGTCACACATGCTGAATGACACCCCCATCATGACTGTGCCGAGCTCATGAAATGTGAAATATGGCAATAAATAAATAAATAATACAGAGCCAAATATTATTTAATCCCTGAAAGACTGTGTTCTTTTCTCATGGGCATGTTCTTTAAACCTTGAAGTAGTCTCTTTAGCCTGCGATAGAAACACACCCAAAAAGTACTAAAGTAAAGGGATTTTAAAATATGTGTAAAATATACTTGACAGTTGGAGGGAGGCACAGCAAGTGTTTCCTGCTGCATGTGGAAGTATCTCTCTTTCTTTCCCCGTGTTTATCTACCTCATCCATGATGTCCAGAGAAGGGATCTGAAAACGTAGGTTCAATTCCCAATGCCCTGCAGAAATATCTCCACTATTTCAAAAACACCGGGGAGAAGGCTCTCCTTCCAGAGGCAAACAAACAAACTCTATTTGGACCAATGTGTGACGGATCCGGCAAATTTTTTGGCAGAGGCGTTTGTTTTGTCTCTGCATTTCTCCAGCCCTCCTCCCCCCTCTCAGGAGTACTTCTCCTCCCACTGATGCTAAAATGTAAATAGCATTTTTAATTAGAATTATATCTTCCGTTTGTGTATTTTGTTATCAGTGGAGAAAGCAGTGTACTGTTCACTGTTTGTACAGGGTAACAATTTGCCTCCCTGTTGACCCAGCCCACTCGTCACTCGCCCTCGCTGTGTGTGATCAAGAACCCGTCCCGCCTCCTAGCAGCCTCCTTTTAGTTTATTTCTCACATTGCTCCCCATCTTTGGAGGTGGAAAAATGTCTAATTTCTAATGTTACAATGTTAAATGGAGCAAGGCTGCAAATTCTTAAATATGAGATTATGAAAACAAAGTTTGCAATTTGTCGATTATTTTCTTTTGATTGATTAATCAATTAATCCAGCAACAGTTTCAGATATCTTTGTTTACCAGAGCAATAACATGCACCATTACAAGAACCGAAATAGAGCATTCTTGATATTTTATACTGTATTATGGAAGAGTCTATTCAAGTTTCTTACTTCTTTAGTATTTTATTATATTTGTGGTTCCAGACGGCAGATTTTTCAGCACTTTATTCTCCTGAAGATCATTCCTCCTTGGTCACAAACTGTAGTCAGTACTATGGCATCTTAAACCATGTTTAATTCAGAGTTTCTGCCCCTGGTCTTTTACATGTGTGCTACTCCTCACCGTGCCTGCCCTGTTTTGCCTCTACGGCTTACAAACAGATGTTGCTGCTGCTGCCAGACACCTCGAACATGTCACCTTCTATGAAGCATGAAAGACTAGCCTGGCACTGACAAAACAAAACCCAACATATTCCATGAGTTGAATATAAGGCTGAAGCACTTTTTTGGAGCATAAACAGCAAAGCTAACCAACAAACAGGCATCTGTTTCTATGAAAATGCTGAAATTATTGCAAAAATAAATAAATCGAAAGAACAGAGGGCACAGAGAAAGAGAGTGATGGTTGTTTCTCTTTTGGCTGGCACAGTTCTGACGAGCTCAAAGGCCTCCCACAGCTACAAAAAAAAAAAGCCTCTCCTCCTTCCCAGCCTTCCCTCTCTCCCTTTCCTTCTGCTCTCCCCTCCCCTGCTTATCTCCTTGCATTGCCGACACATTCGTCAAGTGGTGTGACTTCTCATTCATGCAAGCTTTATTGAAATCGAATAAGCAATCCATTGTTGACAAAGAGACGAGACGGGACAAAGATTTCAGACTTAAACTATAGATCTTTTCCTCCCTCTCTCTCTTTCTCTCCCCTCCTTCTCTTTCTCTCCCCTCCTTCTCTCTCTCTCCCCTCCTTGTCGTCGTCCCCCCGTCTCCCTAACACCGCCTCTTAGTACAGCCTGTGTGTTAAAGTGTGTGTCTCAGATGAACCTGTAAAAGTTGAAACCTTCTTTATGTGCCTCTCTGTGTGTGCGGTGTCTTGATTGCCCCTGTGCAAGTGTGTGTGTGTGTGAGTGTGTGTGTGTGTGTGTGTGTGTGTGTGTGTGTGTGTGTGTGTGTGAGAGATGCAGTTGGCTGCTCAGTGGGATAGAGGCGGGTATGACTGGAGCTGGATTGACCGACTGGCAAGCAGCTCGACTGCTGCTGGGAATACTAACATGACACACACTCAGACACACGCGCACGCGCACACACACACACACACACACACACACACACACACACGACCACACCACACCTCTCCGTAGCATCCATCTATCAGTATCTCAACTGTTTGAATGATTTACTCTAAAAGGTGCCAAAACACAGCTGTCTTCAATCATACATGCACACACTCCCATCCAGGTGCACGTAAATACACACTCACTCGCAGTCTGTTAACACACACACACACACACTCACACACACACACACACACACACACAAACAAACACAAGAAGAGGGCTTAAAAAGAGGAGAAAAAAGCATTTCATTTTTAAACCTCATGCTCGAGGGCTGAAGTGTTCAGTCAGATACTAAGGCTGAGCTACCAGATATTAAACATGCATGTGAAGGGCCTGCAGGTTCACCAGCTGAAGCTCAGTGGAGATCAATCTGAACATCAGACTTTGAAGGAAGAAGACACTTATTGGTGTAATTTAAGAGTCTGGGACACTAAATGCTCCTTTAATCTACTCTTCAAATGATCCATTACATTTTATACTGCTATTGTTACTAATTGTATTATTCTAATTATTCTTAAGAATAATTGATCGTTTTTATCCCTGTTACAATTACATTTCCTTGCACTATTCCCTTGCCTTTAGCGCGACTTAAAAATGTGACTGGTGAGATGAGTTTTGCACCAGCTCAGACACCAAAATCCTTGCTACAGGCTAATATTCATCCGCGAGTGTCAACTCTGTGATAAAGGTCCAAACGAAAATATGTTTGGCCAGAGGTTGCATCTGATTGAAGTGCAAAGTGCAGAATGCATACAAACAATCACATATACCCGAATAACCTTTATTGTTTTCTGCTCCTTTAAAAGAGGACTGCTACAGGTGCATTGGGGAGAGCACACAGAAACACACACACACACACACACACACACACACACACACACACACACACACATACCTTAGTCACAAGAGGCTCTGTGTCCTCCAGTATGGAGATGAAGGGGATCTCCAGGAACGACGAGAGGAACTCCACCTGGATCAGCTCCTCCCTGGAGCGGGGGAAGGCCAGCACGGCGGACACCCCCCTGACCACCAGGTCCTGGCAGGTGCTACGGGACAGCGACTCCGGGTCCCCCCCCGCGGGCGATCGAGCCACCATCTCCAGGCTCAGGTTGTAGGGCATCAGAGGAGGTGTTTGGGAGGCGGTCGTGGTGGAGTCTGTCCCTACGCTCTGGTGCCGGAGGCTAGCCAGGGCGCGGTTGAGAGCGTTTTGTATCCGTGCCGGCTGGCGGGTTGGCAAGAGCGCGCCGAGGCGCACGGTGTGTCCTATCCGGGCGAGGATGTGGCAAGGCTGAGGGTGCGGGAGGCAGGACTCGGGGGAGCAGAGGACGGTCAATAAAAGCAGCAGCAGGAGCGGTCTGGCGGAGAGGAAGAGGAGATGAGGTCTCCCGGGGGCGAGGCAGTAGGTCCAGAGTCCGGAGAGAGACACCATGCTGCAGCTCCGACACACAACAGAGGAGGACTGGGCTCTGCTCGGCGCGAGATGGCATAGCTCCCTCTTTCTCCCGGCTCCGGCGCTTTTCCTCGGACTTGATGGTTCTTTTCTTTCCCTCCTTTTTTTTTTTCTTTTGTCAATGCGCGCTGTCGACGCTGATTTACCGGCGTTTAAACGTTTCGGATCTCACCTCTTCAAAGTTTTTTTAATGTCAACAGTAAAAGACGCGCTGGTGAAGGAGACGAGAGATGAGCGCTCGCAGCTTAGAGCGGTCGCCCCGCTTCTGTCAGTCTCTGCTGGAGGAAGGCGCACCAGCTGTGGTGTGTGTGTGTATGTGTGTGTGTGGTGTGTGTGTAGGGGTGTGTGTGTGTGTGTGTGTCCATGCGCCTGCCGGCCAATAATCTAACCTCTCACGGAGACTGCCTCTTGTTGAATTTTAATGAAAACTCGTCGGGTAACATTTCCCTTCGCAAAGAGAATTTGCACTTAATGTTTTTATTCAGAATTGAAACTACGAGCAATCAAAGATGTGTCCTTGTGATTATTATATGACTCTCGTTGCATGAAAGACAATGCAATATAGAGATTAGTTTGCTCCTTCTGGAACCATGGTTTTCTCTTGTACTTCTGCATTTAAGAGGAGGATAAACTACCTCAGTATTCTTCCTTTATACTTTACCCTGGCACACGTCTTTTCTAACAGATGTGTGCCATCTTTTTCAAAAAATTGGGGAGGGGGCGGGGATTGGATGTATATAAATGGTGGCCATTTGTTTTCTGAGGTAATGGGACACTTATAAGCCAACTTTACAGCTCTGACCACAATGTCCCAGCCAGGTTGGCCAGCACAAAACTAATAGCTTGCTGAAATCTCAATTTTCCTCAGAGATTTATTCCCACTTACTTCCTGCCATCCAAGTAGAACATTATCCGTTGTGGAACCACATCTTTTCAGGACCATGGACAGCGCCAGCACCATAAAAGAGATCTACGGTGCATGCTAATTCGGCTTCACGCAAGGGACAGCACTCAGTCCTCCCTTCGTCTGCACTCACTTCTCTTTGCCCCGATCTAATTTGCAATTGTTAGAGCAGAACATTCAGCATGTGTTAAGCAGAAATCTGGGCAGTGGTGTGTGTGGCCCTTGGTGTCCCCACATTCTCTTTTTCCTGATAATTCCTTGTTTGTCAAGACACCGCTCATGCTTCAAATGTCTAGCTCGCTGTTTTCCTGCCTCTGCTCTTCTTCTTCTGTCTCGCTCTCTGCGGTTTTGGCGTGGGGTGAATCTGCGGGGCCGTTTCGGTGTGAGGTCTGACATACCTGCAGATAAAGCTATCACTGCCTCTCTCTGTCTCACACATACACACACACACACACACACACACACCCCCATTCCCCGGGATCAACAAGTCATTTCACAGCCTACTGGGTGACCTGGTGTGATACCGGTACGGTTTACTGACAAATCTGTGTTTTCTTACCTTTCCTCTCTCTCCTCATGCTCGACTTGCTCCGTATAGAGAAAGATGGAAACCAACACTTTGGGCTTTGTTCTGCTGCAGAAACCAGCAACATTATACTTGCATGGCTCCTCAGACATTCTCCCTCAGGTACCTGTTGAAGCTGGGCAGGAACAGGTACAAACTAAGTGTTTCCTAATGTATTATTCTCTGCATATGTTTTACACTGTGACTGTTGTTGGGCCAAGTCAAGTTCATCACGAGGTGCCTTACTTCAAATGTGCAAATGGTTGAATGTACCAGGCTGCTGAAGCTATTTTCTATATCCAAGATGTCAAATTGTTTCCATAAAGACCAGAAAATACCCATAATCAAATGATAGCGGAACAGTTTATTTCCTTATACCTTATAATCATATTTGGGGTCACATTGTATTTTTATCTAGAACTACCATATTATTTGAAGGCACAAAAAAGCAAGGGCTCAGATTAACACTTTTAGTTGGATGCCAATAACAGGATGATTATATCTTATGCTGAATGCAGTGTATCACTTAGATTAAAACAACAACTACTCTAACTGCTGCTACTACTACTACAGCCTTACAAGATCTTAAATAACATAGAAACACACATTACAGTCTAAGGGCAAATAACAAGGATATAATCATATGTTTCAATGAAAAGCATGTTTGCTCAAAAGGAAAACACAATTCCCAACTATAAACTTCAATTGGTTCAAAAAAAAAAAGATTATTGAAGGATAAACCCTACTTTAGACACAGACCTCTCTTTGAAATAAAGATTTGGTGACACAATTGAAATACTGTATGTTATTGTGTTTCTTTATTTGATGCCTTAACTCTAACGCCAAACACCACTAAAGTAGCCTGTCTAAATTAACGTGGCCTTTTAAAAACAGTTTGTTTTACTCTGTAAATGAGAAATCAATAAAGCAATTATCTTAATGAGATAACATTCTTTATGTAAATTATAAAATCTATAGACATCTAAAATCAAAATGGCTCCCAGGGCAAGATGCCCCTTTACAGTGGACGTGCATATTTTACCCCAAACTCTTGAGTATGCTTATGCATGTTGACATTGTATGTACTGAGGGGGGCATCTTTCCCTCATAGCCACCTGAATGCACATACCGCTCTAAAAATATGATCAAAATCACACAAACAAGTCTTTTTTTTTTCTTAGAGGAAGTAGTCCAAATCAAATCCACCATGAGAGTTGAAAATAATTAGCTGTGAAATGAATCAGCATTGTTAAGTATAGTCACTAAAAACTCGAGAGGCTGGTAAGTGGCTGTATGACAAATTGAAACATTGGGAGCAATGGGAATAGATTTCCTTCAGCAGTAGGCATGAACAGAACTGAGAGACAAAAAAAACAGTAGACCCAGATATTATTTTATTTTTGGGCTAGATGACTTGTTTCCACTTGTTGCTCTCATGCATGGATATCAAGAATAGTGTTCAAGAATAGAATGAGCGTACGTTTACATTGCAGCAGCACAGCACATTCCGGAGGAGGATGCTTATTAAGGGTCTCAAGTGTGATCGCAAACCCCCCTTCGGCTTCCGATCACTGCACAGGGAGAGCGATGACTGGGACATGTCCTATGTTTGTCCCCAAAGGTTGTATACAGGTGTCCCACATGCACACACACTATCTGTATTACTGTTTCCTATTAACAGTTTTGCCCCCATGGGTGTATTTGTTTTGATTATGTACATTGTAAGGGATTAATATGGAGAATAGGATTAAGCAGGCGTCAGAAACCTAATTAAAGTAGCCCTTCATCTTTGCTAGTGGGGGCCACGTCTCTGTAGCACTCTGCGAGATCCCTCCTCCTGTTCGCCCGTCACCTCCTGCCCTCTGTTTCTTCCACACCACTCTCTGACTTCTGTCTTTGCATGTGAAACGTGCACACGTCCGCTCTTCAGCCGTTCCCTTTTTCGTTTATCTCCTCGGCTCCACCCACGTGGTCCCGCCTTCACCTTCATCCCCATTTCCTCTGATATTTTCCTCAGACTCCCTCACTCTCCATCTTCCATATTTTGCGTCTCTTTGAGGTACACGGCAAAAATCGCTATTTGCCCCCAAAAACACAAAACACACACCATTTTAAACCACATCAGTGATTAATTCCTGAGCCGAAAGCGCAATTACACTGGTAGAAGTCTACTGGAGAACATAGCGGTTCAGCTGAGGGGTGAGCCAACAACAACTGCCAATTTGAGTAAGGGTGAGTGCTCCTCTGTGAGGGGGAACAGTCTGTCTATGCATGCGTGTGTCTCATTGTTTGTGTGTGTGTAAATCCTAAATAATCTGGCAGTACAAACCCAGGTAGCACAGAGGCTGTTGAAATGCCAGCGAGCTGTGAGTTAGTATTCCTGGCACAGCACTAAAAGGCACTAATATCATCTTTTAGCACAATGCTCGCTAACAAGGGGCAAGACAGAGGGCCGGGAGAAAGAAAGACAAGGAGGAAGGAAGGGAAGAAAGACGGCCAAATAATCACGTGCGGCAAAGCTGGAAAGGGTTGTAAGGAGCAGGACAAGTGAGAATGTTTAGGCAAGATTCGGCGTTGGCGCGCGTTGTGTCTTCAGAGTTGAAACAAATTGACAACATGAGTTCATTCCTCGCAATTCCTTTCACCCTCTGCTCCCCCTGATGTACAAAGACACTGGTCTATGGAGAGAGACTTATCTGGAAGCAACAGCAGCACTCTGCATGTGTGGGTTTGTGACTGTACATGTGTGTGGCAAAGTGCACGCATTATGAGGGCTTATGTGTGTGTTCCATTTTCTGCCTTTTTTTTTTTTTCAACCCACTGCTTCTGTGGCTCTCAGGTGGGTACAGGTTTCATTACTGTGGATTTGTGGAGGCTGTTTAAAGACACACTACGATAGTGTGTATATAAGATGTGGACATAGTCACCGGGATGTCACCCAATGGTTTGTGGACTACGGTTTTGAAGCCTCGAGTTTGGCATTTTGGCAGTCACCATCTTGGTTTTTGGCCGTTGCCATCTTTGTTTTCCGGGAGCAGAAGTGATACGAGAGGGTGGAGCAGAGTACAATAAAACGGCAGCCAGAATTTTAAAATGAACTTTCATGAATTGAAAACACACTGTGAAAGGTTTAAAGTTCTAAGAGGAAAAAACACGGACAACTCGCAGACCAGACAGCGACCTGTCAATCACAACGCAGCTGGAAAATGCAAGCTATCTTTTACATCTATGGCAGTGTCTGTTTTGGTCCAGAGTCCAATATTTGACTAACTATTGGATGGATTGTCACGAAATTTTGTACAAGCACTCGTGTCTCTCAGAGGACAAAGCCTCAAATATCTGCAAAATGAATCACATTCCCCTCCACCTCAGCAGTACTTTCTGTTAGGTGTTAATTTGCAAAAGTTAGCTCGCTAACACTGAAATGGAGAACATTATTGCAAACATTCAGCTAAACATCAGCATGTTAGTATTGTCACTGTTAGCCTGATGACGTTAACATTCATCCCAAGCTACAGCGTCACCGACTGATAAATACCCATACAGAGCAACAACATCCCCAGTTCATCTGAATTAGCTTAATTTGCCGTTTTCGTTCCGCTGGCAGGATAGAAAAGCTTTTGAAACTGTTGAACCACAGGGACACGAAAACTCTACTCAAGATCATAACAGAGAATTGCTTTTAGGTCGTAAATTATTTCACACAAGAAGCTCTTAACAATTGAATATGATACTGAAATATTCAGAGTAAAGTAGGCCAATGTTGCATTTTAGTCTTACTTACACAATGTACCATTCACGGATCAGTGTGCAAGGGCGAAGGT